GGAGATATCTATTAACAACAGTATATCGATTTCATAAACACACGGTGGACCCTTTATACAGAGGAATGACGAAAATCAATGGACATGAACAGTGATTACTATGATCTACGCGGCCAGGTCTATAAATCTCACAAATATAATTTTGAGTACAGCATAATGTCGCTTCCCAGGGACACTGTCCATATCTGTACAGCCAAAGGAAAAAACTGGGGGTAGACACCTGCTGTCTCACCCCCGTTCAACAGGAACTATCACATGGTCGTGTGTGGCAGAATTATGCCAAGGATGACTTCCAGATGTTCCCAATGAATTACCCTCAATTAACTTCTCAAAGAACAATTTCAAAAGATTCAGGACACTTAGAGAACAACTTCCTCATGAAACAATTTCCCACCAGTAAGGAAAACAACATAAACAACAACGAGAAAACGTCTGCTCATTGGTGCAAATACTGGATCTACGGTATAAAAGTCTCAGAAAAAGATGTGCTCATCAGATTCTGGAAACTCACCTCAGAACAAGAACCCACTGCCCACCCCGACACCATGACTCACTCCTGCTGCTCCCCCTGCTGCACCCCCTGCTGCCCCCCACCCTGCTGCACCCCCTGCTGTAAGCCTTGCTGCCCCCCACCCTGCTGCGCCCCCTGCTGCAAGCCTTGCTGCCCCCCACCTTGCTGCACCCCCTGCTGCAAGCCTTGCTGCCCCCCACCCTGCTGCGCCCCCTGCTGCCGTCCCAGCTGCTGCTGATCCTCCTACAACAGACCCACCTCCCACTGGAGACCTACTTCTTTGACCCTTTGCCAACATTCCCATTCCTTCAAGAAACTTCTTCACTAACCTTTGCTGAGAAAAAACATGCTAACTCAGAGCTTGTGGCATCTTCTTTCTACGTTGCTTGTGAGTGTCCTTGTGAGGAGAAGCAGCCCACTGGTGGTCGTCTTCATGTCTATCAGCGTCTATCAGCCCTTGTACAGTGCTGGTCACTCTGCCCACAGGTAACATGAATTCATGGCCCCAGCTTCAAGATGAGGATCATCACCTTTTGCTTCTATGACACTGAAATTCTTATGACTATATATTTAATTCCCTAAAATGACCATTATTGATCATCTTTTAAGAGAGAAGCCTTATATTTAGTAACTTCTGCTAGGTCACTCAACTATTTCACAGCCGATTTCAATTGTCTTCCTACCTGTTCTTTCCTAATAAAATCTAAATTTCCCTGCATCCTATGGCATCCTTTTAGTTTGTTTATTTGTTTCCAATTCTTGCTTTCTTTCAGGGGGCTTTTGAGTTGCATATTTTCCCTCACTCAAGTCTCACAGTGACCTTTCAGGTTGGGAAAACCAAAGATTATCATACTATTGTCATTCCTGTTTCAGTGATGAGAAATAATTTTCCACAGAGCTAGTAATTTACAAAAACAGAGCCAATCCCCAGGTCCTTTGACTCCAGGGTGTTCACATCTCTCTACAAAGAACCAGCAACCAACACAAATATTATTGTTCACAGGGAAGATCTAGACTGTGTTGCTTCTTTAACAGTAGAAAGAATCCCGCCTTCCCTATGCAGAACCTTTTTTGTCTGCAAAACTCTCTCCAAATATTCTTCCTATCTCTTATACTGCCGTAGAGTGCCTGTCAGTGAAGGGAGCTTCAACACCTACTCTGGCTTCTGATCTATCCCTCGAAACAACCTCTCCAACAATCCTCCCTACACCTCCTGGTGTCCTCGCCTACACGCTGCTCTTTGATGCCATGGGACTGACCCCCTGGCATAATTTCATTCACCTCCATAGAAATCAAGGTGAAGAATTACCTCTCAAAGCATACAATATTTCCATATATCTTGGGCTCCCAAAATTTGAGGCAATTTGGTCTCCTGACCTGAACATTACTAAGGGAGACCAGAGTCTTGAGAGTTGAGGTAATCACACTAGCAGCATATAAACCTTTGATCCAGTTATAATCTCCAGGCTGTAAAAGAAAACAGAGCAACCTACTGGGTCCTATAAAATAGAAATGTGTAGGCTTAAAATTAGAGTTTTCAGGAAAAAAAGAAAAATAATAGTAAAAAGAAAAGAAGGAATTGTGCTATTCATAATCAAGATGGACATTAGATTAGATGAAAATCTGAATCACAGAGCAAATAGCTGACATACCCAGCAGCAAAAGGGTTAACCCAGACAAAAAGCTTTGACCAACTTTTTGAGAGCCTTATGGTGCTTGGGTGGGTTAACACAATCAATGCAAGTCCAGCAAGCATGGGGGCCCCAGGGTGAAGACACGGGCACCCCTGCTCTGGATATGAACAACAAAACTGCTATAAAACAAGCCCAAAAACCCTGAGTGGAAAACTGACAACCACGAACTTCATCTGAGGAAATAATTGGGAAAACTTTAAGTGAGTTTTGTTTAGGGTGATAGTGTGGCAGTGCAGGCCATGGAGGGAAGAGGGCTGATTCAGGAACATTCTGCCCAGGGGGTCCTAAGACTTTGGACTAGATAAAGGGGTGCACGAACAGGTACCCAGGTTGTGTTAGTGAAGAAGTCGGTCCTGAACGAACTCTACAGATACAGGTTTTGTTCTTTCCACCCCCAACCCAGACACCAGATCTACAAATCCCATCATCACCGAAGAGAGGGTTGCTAGAAACTGCAAGTGGAGTTACGCAGACAGGTTTGATATAAAACCAGACACATGGGCCTTTGGCCTCTTGGCTCCTGGCTTGACTCTTGACTTTTCGTTGGTGCTCAATGTGCTATTGGGGTTCCAGGCCAGCAGAACTGGTAGGATGCATTAACCAACTTACCCCTCTCTGATTTCCAGTTATTCATTCCCCTTCTTTTGTAAATAAACCCTTTCTTAACCGTTTTTTGTGTGTGCCTGCTCCCCTTGGCCATGCATTTAACCTCTGCAGGGACTGGAGGCGTCTTTGTAACCCTGTGATCCCCATGAAAGGGGAGCATCTAAGGGAGGCTAAGGTAAACCGCAAGGGGAAGCTGAAAATGAACAAGAGAAGGAACTGGAAGAAGACAGAGGAACACTGGGAGAACTGGAGGGGGCTTGTGGAACAAGAGCCACGTGAAGAAGCTGCACTTGCTTCTCGGCCTTAGACATGTACCAGGGATGTAGGGGGCATGGGAGGAGACTTTTGAAAGTGAGAGACATGCGTGAGAGACCGTTGGGAAGGCTGACAGTGGCAGCCTTCACCTTGACTTGTACTGTGCTTTTTTCCTCATAGGCATGGCTGGGCCTTCTGCCTCTCTCTTAAGGTCCCCACCAGAAGGTCTAATGCAATAAGAGTATGTTTGTCTTTATGCAGCAGGTGACTGAACCCATATAGGACAGGCAAGGTTGGGGGTCTCAGGCTGCCCTTCATCCTGTTTGCTAATATACTAAGTTACCTAGAAGTACAGTTATAAACCTCTGTGATGTGTTATCTCACTGGCTCATCAATCCCGTGGCAAAAGTGAACCAAATGAATATTTGTACCAATTCTCAAATGTATCACCGTGAGTCACTACAGAAATGTGCCAGAGAACCTTGGCAGGCCATGAAGCCAGAAATGTTGTGGACAGAAAAATGGGCTGATGGGTGCTGTCCATGGTGAGCAGCAAAGAGCCCAGATGAGCAGACCAGGTCTTCGGCACAAGTCCACAGAGTCATACTGAATCACGAGAGTTACACGAAGGAGTTTTATTCAAGATGGCTGAAAAGGAGTTGGCAGAATAGGTACCCCAGAACAACTGGGATCTCTGAATGGGGGACAGCCTGGAATTTTATAAAGGGTGAGGGGATGTGAGGGAAGTGGTGGAGGCTTAGAGTAAAAAAATTGGAGATGGAAGGTGTCAGGAGACCAAAAACTGGAGGTGGGGGTAGAAATGATGAAGGTAGTTGTTACACCAGATACGGAAATGCAAACTCTGAGGCAACCACTGCTAGGGAAGGTGTCGGTACCCCGCTGCTGTGGGGAAGCAGCGCCTTCAGGAAACTGGTCACTCTGCACTGAAGAAAGCGGGCTTCAAGTTGGGGAGGACAAAAGAGGGTCCATGTATTCCCACTATAGGGAATGGCTTTATTTCTTCTTGTCTGAAAATAAGTACCTGACAGGAGAAGGTCCTTGCAGAATTTGATTTACATTTTACAAGACAAGCCCCAGGAAAGCACCTTCTCCCCTGAGGAGGAAGAGTGTTTAAAAGCATTTGATGCAAACAAAGTGTGTCAAATAAGGGGCTGGCCAGAGCCTGAGGCAGAGTTTGCCTGCATTCCAGGGAGCTTTTAAATGTGGCCTCTGCTCCCCTTATTGAAACAAGTCTCTGGGATGTGTCATGTGAAGGTTCTTGCAGTGTCCTGGACCAGGAGCTGAATCAGTCTCCACCAGCATCTTGCCAGCACTTGAAGATAGACAGTGAACTGTTCTCATCAGAAACATGGAGAGTATAACATGGGGAGGCTGTCACGAGACCCGAATGTGTAAGGAACGTGTAGTCTGAGAGGACCCTATATCAGGGAAGACTGAACAATAAGACAGAACAAAACACGGAGTGAGACTGACACAGTATTTATTTTTAAATGCAGATGAAAGTCCATGCAGCTAAGCAGAAAACACCAAGTGGTCATGAAAAGCAGACAGCAGAGTACAAGAAACAGCACATTGAAAAACAAACATGATTGTGAAGGTCGTTGCTCAGTAGCGGAGATGCAAGACAAAGGTAAGAGGATTTGTTTTACTCAGTGACTTACAGGGAAAGGCCCTAACTTCATAATCAGAGCAGATTCTACACACATGTCCAGAATGCACAAAGCTGGGTCTTCCTGCCTCAAGCTGATCTCTAAGCTATGAAAAGGCAGCTCAATTTAAGTGAGAAACATGGTGCTGGCAAGCTGCCTTTCAGGGACAAAGAACAAGCTCATCCGAGGAGTGACCATGGGAGTGGGGTGGGGGGCAGATGTACGGGGACTGTTTTGTGGCAATGGTGGTTCACTGGCTGGGGATCAGCAGCCGCAAGGCTGGCCGCAGGGGCACCCCAAGCTCTCTGGGAGGCACCCAAGCAGGCAGGAGCAGGTGGGCCGGTACCAGGTTCTGTGGCAGTGCACAGGGGTACAGCAGGCGGGCTGGCCACAGGGGGAGCAGCAGCTGGGGCGGCAGCAGGGGGTGCAGCAGGGGGAGCAGCAGGGTGGGGGCAGTAGGGTGGGGGGCAGCAGGGCCGGCAGCACAGGGAGCAGCAGGCCATGGCGTCGGGGTGGATGGTGGGCTCCTGGTCACAGGTGAGGTTCCCAGAGTCTGATGACTTCTTCTCTAGGACTTTTATATACCAGACTTCTGAAAGGGACCAAAGAACAGGATTTTCCTCATTCTTGTCATCAGTGCTGTCCATAGTCATGGGGAATTATAAAGAAGAAGTTGTTTCCTACGTGTTATGGGTCCTTGGAAATAATTGTTTAATGTGATCCATTTGCAAATAACTCATAGGAAAAGATTTTTTTCATATAAGAAGAAATAGTCATGTTATCATCATCGTTCCTGCTTCCATGATAACATGAGTAGTTCCCACGGGCCAGGCACCTGCGGGCAGCTGGTGACTTTATCCCCCGTCTACTTCCAGGCTCACTCAGATCCCTGCTGTACGTTTCTGCCTTTTTTCTCTGTTTAAAGAAGAAATGAAAGTGGTCTCTGTGGAATAATGGGTGGCCTGAGTGATGGGGGAGATGACGTGGTGGGGGAAGGCACGTACCCCCAAATCGTATTCAATGGAACCAACTTTTTCATAACAAAAATAAAGGCCAGTGGCCAAATGACAGGCCTTTAAGATGTTCTAGTTTGCTTTTGTTTTAGAGATCTGTTATCTCTGAGCACTGACTAGTCGTGAAACTATGTTTTCTACTCTATTGCACCCTGCATGCATGTTTAATGTAGTTCATACTAAGACCAAATTAAAAATTAGAAAAAGATAAAAGGAGAAATTAAATTACAGAACACAACACCTGGTTATTTTGGCATCTAACATGTTCAGAATTTCAAAGGGTGTGATCTTCATTTTAAGAGCCCTCAGAAGTTTAATTTCTGTCTTGCTAAATTGCTATTAGTTACCAACCCAATAGATTTTCATAAATTAACACACCCAGGCCACTATTACCAGATTAAGAAACAAAAATTAATTCCATTCCCTTCAAATTATATTCCTTTATTCTTTCCCAAAGGTGGGTAATTCTAAGCTGTTTTTAAAATACATATACATGAATACATTTCGTTCCTTTCTTTCTACACGATGTTATGACCCTTTATGAATATCTATGTTCCTGCTACCATCTTACCTGTTAGGTCCAACTATGGATTAATCTAGAAGTGTTTTCTTTCTCTTCCTAATGCTCTTTGATTATGTCAGTCAGTCTGGAGACAAATACCTTCTTGAAGAAATCACGTTTGTTTTTCTTTTCATGGGGTAGCAAGAAACAAATCAATTCATCATCTTTTTTGGTAGAAAACCACTTCCCTTAGTAACCCAATATAAATTGTGTCTTTTTTGCTGGCTTATCTCTGTATCCACAATTTAACACAAAATAATCTTGTATTTACAAATTATAACCATGCAGAGCAGGCACTAATGGGGAGCCCGGGCACATTCCTACAGGGTGGCACAGTCTGGTTCTGGCCATGGCAGTGATAACTCCCACCCCAAGCTCATTTGACTGCTGGGGGGGAAAAATAACAAACCCTAATTGATGACAAGAACATGAAATGTCTGACTTCATCGATGAAAACCCCAATAGCAGCTCTTATGCCAGATGGGGGGTTTATTTATACTACAACAGCTCGACAGCTCTGGTTTCAGAAGCAGGGGAGAGGAAATCCCCATGAAGACAGCTTGTGCAGGACACATTGTCGTGTTGCGTTTTGAGAAAAAAATCCACCAGAGGAAGTAGCTGTCCACTGGCTCTTTGCAAGTGGGAAAAGTCTTGACTGGCTGGTCCAAGCCCCTGAAGGAGCAAGATTGGATGAGAAAGAGCCCTGGAGACCAGTGATGTGGATGAAGTCAGGCGTGGGTACAAAGAACTCCCTCTGTGTACCCCACATCAGTGCACTCCACATCCAAGCGCAGGTATCCACCACTTAGCAACTCTGAACAAATAGGAACTGGGCGGGAGTCAGCCCCTCTCCCTCCTCAGATGTTCAGCATTCACCTATTGACCACAGACACAGCACCAGGGCGGGGGAGGGGTAGCGAGGGACTCTGTGCCCACCTAGAAGCTCAGGCTCCCTCAGCCCTGCTGGCCTGCTGTCGATCAGAAGCAGACTGGCTCTGCACCCCAAGCTAATAGCACCATGAGCACTGACCATCCCACAGGAGTCCAGTTTTACCTGTCGGAGCTCTTCCACCCAAAAGCCCAGTTCCTCTTCATCAGGGCTGCGGGCTTTGTACACAACTGGGTCTCCCGGTCACAGCACGGCCAGCACTCAGCCTTTGTGTCTTGGGATCCAGAGTGGCGACATGGCCAGAGAGACCCCCCTGAAGATGAGCAAGGAGCCATGACAGGCGCATGGCATGGGCTGTACTTGTCCCATCTGGTCACAAGACCCAGAAGTTGCTGGTCTGGTGGAAATTGCAGTGGCCTCCGCTCTGCAGCAAAGGCACCCCGAGGCGACAATGTGGGACTCCACCGTCTCCGCAGTGGGCCACATGCCGCAATCCAAGGGTCATTTCATGGTGCGTATGCACGTCGCAGCATACACAGCGTCGTGGGTGGGCTCAGTGGGCTCAGACAAGTGGGACTTGGAAGGGAAATTCTCCCTTCGGCCCCAGGCCAAGCTCAAGCAGGTGTGTCCTCCGTCCAAGGCTTTAGGCGCTCATGGACGGGAGGCTTCACTCCTAGGAAAGGCATATTTTGCATTCCCATGAAAGGGGCATCATCTACGTTTACAGCTGTCATCAGGTCACTTTGGACTCCTCAGTGGATAAGCGAGTCTAAAAGCAGTCACTGTGCATGGCGCGGGGTAGTTATCCTGGCAGAGGAGGAGAAGCCCAGCTGTCCCCCTGGACAATCACTGACGTGTCCCCTGGTGTGTCCCTGCCCATGAAGACCAAGCGCATGGTGACAAGCACAGCTTGCCAAGGACATAGTAACCCCCACTGGACCTTTATTTCCTTGGGGTGTAAGTGTCCACAAACAGGAATAGCAGACCCTGGGAAATTATGGATTTGAGTCCACTTATCTGTTAAGCGAAATGAAATGTTTTAATTTTCCTGGAAAATGGAGAGCATGATGGTGGTCGGCTGTGGTGACGTGCCGAATGAATCACGCAGAGAAGCAGGAGGTGTGCATTCAAAGCCCTG